TGATTCACACTTGGTGTGCGAAACACCGAGTTGTATTCGAAATTCATACGTGAGCAGTACTTCTCTCTTTTGAACGCACTGAATGTGGCCCGCGGATACGAAACTGCCGAAGTGGCTCAACGACACCTCGCATCAACCCCCATGTTTACGATGTGCGAGGCCCGCTCGTCTACTAGATATCGACCGCAACCCCACGACGTTGCTCGCCACCAGAATCCCTCAGCCAACTGTCTCTACTGTCGACAATGCGGCAAATGGGCTGAGCGGTGTAGCTACCATCCACCGATACGGCCCAACTTTTCTCCTCGTACGTCAGTCTGTAATGTTATAACCATTTCAGACTTAGCCGTACCTTCTCATGATGCGCGCACGTCTCTTACCGTTCCTGGTACCCTTAATGGTCACGAGCTACCATTTTGTTGGATAATGAGATTCTTTTTCCGTAGTTTATTCAAACCATCCCTGGATTACCTACGAATCTTCGTCGCGGCTTGCCCAACTCTCGACGGTGAACGGTGTTCTCCTTCGTCCAAACGGCGTGTACAATTTACCGTAACTTTATGCAATTTTACTGCTGGACACACTTTTACACGCGCGGGTTTCCAGTGGGATAGGGTTCTGGGTATGGATTTCCTAGATCGTAACGATGCCTCCATCGGGTTCTCTCCACTTAGAATCAGACTTAGAGATATCGGGGTTTTTCACACAGCTGACGTTACGACTATTTCTAAGGAACCATGGTAGGCTCCTCTTTTACGTGTATTTACCATAAAGAGGTTGCACGTCAAGCTTATATTGACCTTTTGGAGGAGTTTTCTGCTCAGTTCTATGTCAATAACAAATCTTTGGGGCACACAAATGTCATCGTTCCGACACAGGGAGCTCCCGACCCATCCGCCAGGGTCTTGGTGCATTCTCATTCTTAACAAGAATGATCTAGAGAAAATGATTCGTGATATGCTAAAGAAATAGATTATTCGAATACCCTCCTCCTCCTCCTGGACCTCGCCTATGATCCTCATGAACAAAAAAGAAGAAAGTCATCGTTTATAAACGACTAAATGCCGTAACGAACGCGACTCCTATGCACTGCATTGCATAGATGATACCATTGACGCTGTGTCTAGGGCTACGTGGTTTTCCAATTTGGACCTCGGGTCCAGGTACTGGCAAAACGAAGTTTACGCAACCACCCGTGCGAAAACGACCCTTGCGGTACCTTCTGGCCTTTAGGAGTTCAACATGATGCTTTTTGGAC